TTTTTTAAATGTCCCTTTCACTTATCAAGACCCAGAGTGGCATTAACACCAGCTGCTTCTTAACTTCCAGAGGGTCTTTGCCAGCTCTTTTGATGCTGTCTCATGAATTGCATAAGCTCTCTTCATTCTATCATTTCTATATTTTCTAACTTTTCTCCTTTGTAAGTTTAAAAATTTTTTTCTTTGAGTTCACAGATTCTTTCTTTAGCTTGAGAAAATTTTCTCTGGAAAATCTGTATTGCATTTTTCATTTAACTCTGTATTTGTCAGCTCCAGAAATTAAGTTTTTAATGATTTCATCTCTATTCAACTTCTAATTGGAGTCATTTAATGATTTGCTGATATTATTGAGCTGATTATTGTACTTCTTAGACTTTCCTGAGCTTTCTAAAATGATGATTTTGTATTCTTTACTGGATAATTTGTACATGTGCATTTCTTTGGGGTCAACTGCAGTGAAAATATTGTTTTCTTTAGATAGTGCTATTTCTCCTTGATATTGTGGGTTTCTTGTTGTTTTGCATTGATGTCTGTGTATTTGGAGGTGCAGTTACCTCTTCTAACCTTAGGGACTGGTTTTGATGGGGAAAAATCTTTGCAGTAGTTGGTGGGAACACAGGGCCTGCTAGAGTGGGAAACAATGTTTGGACTCTGCTGAGGACACACCAGTGTAGGCTCTAAGCAGCCCTGTATTTGAGATGGCATTGACAAAGGCTGCAGGGATCTGTGCTGTCAATGTCTACCATGATAAAGAGCACTGTTAGGGTCTTCAGAAGCAATGGCTGTCAACATCTGATGTGTTTTCGCCAATCTCCCAATATCTTTTGGCTCCCACTTAGGAAGCTGTGGCCCAAGAAACCCTCTTGACAATGGATGTGGTATTCAGGCTGATTTTTGTGGCAGAGCACTGGTGTCTGAGATGTGGCACTTATGGAGCCACCAGGGAGCCAAAGTATAAAGCATGGACATACATTGGGCCACTACATCTCTGGGGACAGAGATTATTATGGTACCAATGCCAAGGATACTGACATTCCAGGGAAAACTTGATAATGGTATGCAAGTTTGTGTAGCAGCCAGGAGGCTGGAGATGGGAGCATGGGCATGTACAGGCTACAGTGCCTTTGAGGTCATGGTGAACCAAAGACTCAAGCACAGGACATGAGGTTGGTCATGAGGTGGTGACTGTAGTGTTTGAGGCATGGATGTATAGTGCAGCCTCAGAGCCAGGTCCCGAATATGAGGTAACTCTCAGTGGCAGCTGAGCTGAGGTCTGGACAGGGAAATCTTGTCAACAGAGAAATTGTGGTTGTGGAAGCTGGGTCCAGCTACTTCACTACACAGTGGCTCCAGTGTATAAGACATGGGATCAGGAGCAATGCACCCACAGAGCTGGGTTTGGAGCATGAGCAATCATGAGGCAGCCAAGGTTTAAGGCCAGGCACATGCACAGGGTGGGAAGTGGCAGCATGGAATCCAGAGTGGGGCACAGCAGCTGCTTCCTGAGGGGCAGGTGTGTGGAGCTATGTCTCCACCTCTGGGGTTCCCAGCAGGAATGGCCATTGGTTGCAGCAGAGACAAAGGTACTACTGTCCTCCATAAGCAAGTCACAAAGGACCACAGTGGCTCCTGCCTCACAGTTGACACCAAAAGCCTCAACTGCCACCTTTATTCTGAGCCCTCCTCTGGCATCTTAGCTACACCAAGCTCACCAACATTCCTTCTTGTATAGCTATTCTCTAGTCACTTTTGCTTCAATGTATTGATGCAAATTCTTAAATGCACCCTTGAGCCATCCCAGAGCTACTTTGGTATCTGAGTTTTTGTTTTATGTTTGTGGAATTTGTGTGAGTAATGAGGGCTGGTATCTCCTACTCAGCCTCCTTGCTTAAGAGGGACTGTTATTTTTTTATTGCAAAACTTTCAACAATACATAAAACTTTGAAGAATGTGGGATTTTTTTGAAGAGTAGGAAAAATTTATTGAGAGAAAGATAGCTTCTGCCTAAGAGAGACAGAAAGGGGACCAGAAAGTGGGTTACCCACTCACCAAACTTCTCAGAAGTGTTTTATGGGGCAAAGCCATGAGGTGAGGTGGGTTCAAGGTCGGAAAAATCTATAGTCAACTAGTAAGATTGCAAGTACAGTTCCTCAGGTAATACTGATCCAATGAGAAATCACAAGATGAACAATACTGTGAACAACCAATAAGATTATGACAAGCATAGTCACTTAGGTAATATTGATTGAATGGGGATCCAATGGGGAAGCAAGTCATGTAGCAAGCATATAAGGAATAAGCAAAGATTTTCAGTGGTTAGGGATCTTTCTTGGAAGATCCCATTCCCCAAACCAGGTGATTGATACCAATTTAGAATACCAATCACTGCTTTTCATGCTATGGAAGTGTGGTAGTGTCTCTTCTTTTACAGTGCTGGCTTTCAGTGAATGTGTCTCAATTGTCCTCCATGTTGGGTCATTTGTCCTCCATGGTGGCTTCTCAAGGGCTGGGCGGCCCTGTCTAACTGCCTACAAGATACCTAATTAACTTACCTATCTACAACATTCCACCCTCTGAAAAGTACCCCTAACTGCTGTGGGGGGCAAAGGGCAAGACCATTCTGGCTACTTCCAGCTGAAGAGGGTTGTAGTTATGATCGGCACTCAGAGTTACTCTACAGAGGGTCTATCTAAAGGCCCTTGATAGGTGCCAGACATTGTCATCTTGGGCAGGTGTAGAGCATTTAGTCTCCAGCCAATAATCTCAGGGGAAGACCTCCAAAATGATATAGGGGGAAGAGACACAACTCCCAAACCTGCTAGAGGTCTGAAGTGCAAGTTCTTGTTCTCTAAAATTGAAGAATGAATTCTAGAAACAAGGGAGGTTAAGAGTAGGAAAAATTTATTGAGAGAAATATAGCTTCTGTCAAAAAGAGAGACAGAAGGGGAACCAGAAAGTGGGTTATTACTGGGATTTTTAATTGAAAGAAGCACACCTACAAAATTAATCATTTAAAATGGAACAATTCAGTGGCATGTGGTACATTCAAAATGTATGCAATCACTGTTTCTATCTAGTTCCAAGTCATTTTCATCACATCCAAGTTCAATCAGGTGCTCTCCATAGCACAGTTCCTGTCCTAGGTTAATAAAAGAATTAAAACCAGTTTTCAAACAAATGGATGTACACCCAGCACTACCTTTCACAACACCCAAAAATGGAAACTCTCCAAATGTCACCATAAAGGAAACTTTTGCCCCTTAAGTGCTTTCTCCCCTCTTCCTCCAGCACAATCCCTTTCCTAACCCAGAGGAGTGAAGCATAAGCATTCCAGAAAATACATGAATACAATAGTATTTTCCATGGTACCAAAAGATGAAAACTGTCCAAAGTCAACAGAGTCATGGATAAATGAATTGTGGTATATTAAAGAAATTGTGGGAAACCAAATCTGTTGATAACATATGATTAATTATTTTCAAACTATGTATTTTTACATATTGTATATTTCCATTTATTTCAAGGTACATTACCAATACTGGACCAGTATTCCTTTCAAATTTTAAACACAAAAAAGCAATGCCCACACAATTCACTGGTTGTTCTGGGGGAAATTACCAGCCGTACAATTTTATGGGAAAGAATATATCCCTAATGTGAGAAAAAAGAAACAAACCTACCAAATATTGCATAGAAAACCTAACATACACACGGTATAGACAAAAATGTGTGTTCTGTTAGTTGAGTCATCTATTTTAAATATTTACATCATTATGCCCCAAAAATGTTCATAAAAATGTCTTTTATAATCCTTACAACCATACAACAATGTGGTCAAAGCAGAACATGATCACTACCATTCACCACCTATGCCAAACAAGCTCCAGCAGCAGACTTTTGTCTACAGTCCCGTGTTTCCTATCAAAATCTTTAATAACTAAATTACTGTTGCAACTGGACTCTTTTATTAAACATCCCATCACCTTCTATTGAACATGCTCACATTGTGCTTATGTCACATTAGTATCAAGAGTGTCATTTCAGGGCCAGGGACTTAACTCAGTGGTAATGCCACCTGCCTCGAAAGCACAAGGTCCCAAGTTTGATCCCCAGTACCAAAAAAAAAAGAGTGTCATTTCACATTAATTCTGAAAGGGATACCTCTGAGTGATTATACACAAATCTCTCACCTCTCACTTCACTAATGAACAGACTTGCTCATAGATTCATTAGGAGAAACTCTACAGATACAATTAGACTTCTTTCCACTTCTTAAAAATAGATTTGCTCCCATGTAAATTTTCTGTAGGAGAGAAATCATATTAACTCCTCAATTTCTTCTTTCAAAACTCAGGCTTCCTTCCCTGGAATACTTCATCTTCAAGTACTGAGTTCAGTGTGACAGAGCAATGAACCAATGGGAAGTTTCAGTTTCAATGAGAAACTTTATATGCTTTCACCACGGTGGGAAGCAGATCTGTTAAGACATCTATTTAAGTACCAAATATGAACCACGAAATAATTGTATGATTTAAGTAACTTATTGATATCATGACAGTTGTTCACATAAATGTCCTTCAAAATTCAATCTGCTGACCAAGTTACAGCTGTCCTTGAATCAGTCTGATGGTCTCTATGTTTCTGAGTTTCCTTCTCCACATGCCCCTGCACTCACAATAGATACTTAGATCACAAATTTTAAGACTGGGGATTAAATATGTCAAGAAAATTCATGTGCAGGAGGCTCTTCATTAAAATATATTTAATTCAATTATTTACTGATCCAAACAAAATATGAGTGAATATTTCACCCAACATGAAGATTATTGAATGTTTGGAAAGGACTACTGGATAAATTGGTGACTATTCCAAGACTAAATGAGCAGAAATTGAAAAACACTGACACATTTTCAAACTTATATAGACAAATGCAGAAATACAAAGGAGTTGGATTAGAAGGAAGGGAAGGTGCACTCCTCGACTAAAAGGTTGTAGTGGTTCTATTTCTGCAACTTCACTCTGGAAAGAGCATCCCTCAGTGCCTGGTGGAACTGCTTATTGCGCAGGGTGTAGATGACAGGGTTCAGCAGCGGGGTCACCACCGTGTTCACCAGAGCAGCCTCTCGATTGGAGTCCAGTCTGCTCATTTGCTTTGGCTTCATGTAGATGAAGATGCAGCTGCTATACATCAGAGAGAGGACAGCGAGGTGAGAGGAGCAGGTAGAGAAGGCTTTCTGCCTCTCCTTGGCTGATGGGAGGCGCATGATTGTGACCACTATGTTGCTGTAGGCGACGATGGTTACAAAGAGGGAAGTAAAAAGAACAAAGAAAGCAAGGATGAAGAACAACATTTGAGTAGATCTGGTTTCAGAACAGGAGAGATTTGTCAAGGGTCCAAAATCACAGAAGAAGTGAGGGATGACATTGGAGCCACAGAAGGACAACTGGGACAGCTTTATAATGGGAACCACCATGAGCAAGAATCCCAAAGAGAAGCAGGCAGTGACCAGCAGGAAACACACCCTCGGGTTCATGATGATGTGGTAGTGCAGAGGTTTGCAGATGGCCAGGTACCTATCCAGGGACAGCACAGCCATCAGGAAGAAAATAGTTGCACCCAAGAAAAGAAAAACAAATGCTTGTGTGAAGCAGGCAGCAAAGGAAATCATTTGCCTCCCTGACATAAAGATGGTCAGGAGTTTAGGGATAACCGAGGTGATGAAACCACATTCACAGAAGGAGAAAGTGCTGAGGAAGAAGTACATAGGTGTGTGGAGGTGCCGGTCAGCCCAGGTGATGGTGATGATGAGGGAGTTTCCTGTGACAGAGGCCAGGTAGGCCAGGAGGTGCAGCAGGAAGAGGACCTTGCCCAGGTGCTGGACAGCAGGGAAGCCCTCCAGCGTGAACTGGACAGCCGTGCTGTTCCCTGCTCTGGCTGGCACCAGCCTTTCCATTTCTTCAGTCTATTGTCATTCAACTATATGGAACGTTCCTGGCTGAAGAATATTTTGTTCAACATGTAAAATAACCTCAGCATAGCATTTGGGCTTGATAATTATTTTTTAAACTTAGGTTTAATATGTCACTTTTGCTAATTGTTAGTACAAGTAGGTGATTTTTTATCAAAGGCTTATGTTACCCACTGCCTCGTATACTAGTTCAATAAGAACTGTGCATGTAGCTACCCATCCTCATAAAGGATAAAATAATTTTAACATTATTGGGCACTTTCTTATATAATTTATTGCCCTGTTGGAAATGGACCTTCTTGAGTTATTGTTAAAGAAATATAACCCAATAAAACCAAACTGTTCTAGTAGTGTAGCTCAGTGTTGTGTACTTGGCTAAACAAGTGGCCCTGTTTCATGCCCCAGCACAGCGCACACACATACATGCAGATAAGCATACACACAAACTATGGGATTTATCTGTGTTATTCCACTAAAGAATCTTTTCATTATATATTAGTAGTTTTTCCATATTTTGAGCTATAAAATTATTAGTAGCAAATTTTCTTGTAGTCCAAACTAATCCCTCCAAAGTGAGTTAGATTAGGGCCAGGAATTTGGCTCAGTGGTTCCACCACCTGCCTTACAAGCACAAGGACCCAAGTTCGATCCCCAGTACCAAAAAAGTGAGTTAGATTAGAAGAGTAACATACCAATTTTAAATGGATTGCTAGACATTCAGTCCAGGCAATTGCAATACAGAGCCTGAGGTAGGTCAGTGAATGATATATGTTTTCTCATGCTAAACAGTCATTCAGGTGACATTCTATCTTCAGAGTCCTCAGCTCATAGGAGTAAGGATGCCTGCTAGGGACCAGGCAGAAGAGCACCATGACTTCCCTCCAACAATTGTTTTCTGTTTCATTCTTCCTCCTATTGTCTACCTAAGCAGAATATTCTCTTTCCCCTTTAAATTATAAAATTCTCTTATGTGAGACTTGGTGCTCTGGTCATATAGTGGTCATCTCAGACCGCTGACCTTGCTGTCTCATTTAACCAAACAAAAGGCCTCTGGTCCTTTTTGTGAGAGACCTCAGCTTTTTGCCAAAACAAAAACAAACTGCTTCAATTCACAACAAAAAAAGTAGCAGGATGGTCCAGACACTTTAGGACCATGACTCACCCATGAGTAGCTCACAGTAGCCAGAGCTCCAGCTCTGGCTGGAGTGTTCTTGCACACTTCCAAAAACAAGATGATGGTCTATACAGCTGAAGCATAATAAACACTCTCACTTGAGATTTCCCTTATTTGTCCAGATGAAAAGCTCAATGTATGCATCACATCTGCTAATCCTTCTTCAGTGAATTCACTTTCCAAATCTGGGATAGGCCAAAGTGACATCTCAGTGGAATCTGCAACTGATGAAATTCTTGAAAAGAAAGGAGGGCACAAACCTCCCCAGGACTTTGCTAGAACTTGGGAGTGCATTCATTTTGATTCCCAAGCAGCTCTCCTACCTTCCTGTGTCCCCAGGTCTCCCACACCCCATTCCGTTCCTGTATCTGCTCTTGTGCCTGCACTTGCATGCGACTACTTACTGGGCAAAGACTCCAGAGCAGAACAAGTGACAACAGAATCCTCACTCAGCTGACCCCTAACCTACTTAGGATTCACCAATTCTCCAATTTTCCACATTGGGGTGGGTACTACACCAATGGGAGCTGAAATATAAGTGATAGGAATTCACCCAACACATGTTTACATTGAACAGTCTCTTAATACCAATCAGGACCCACCAGGACCAGGGCACAGCATGAAGACACGCCCAACATCATTAGCAGAAGAGAGAACAAAGCCACCTAGAAACCAATGTCCCTCCAGATCCCTGGTGACTGCTAATTGAGCACAGTTGGAAATAAAAAATTATTAATAATAATAACAATAAATTATCATTATTTGGAATCACAATTACTCTTTCATTATGAATGAAAATATAACAATACACATTCCTAAATTCTGAGTTGTTTCCATGAAAAACTTGAAAGCAAAGCACATATAATCCTCCAGGGTTTATGAAGCACCATGGTGCATTATGCTGCTCAAGTGGGGTTGAAAAGTCAGTTTGGCCTGCGTTCCACCGGGCAGTAATGAGGTGGAGCTCCCCTCATTCTGTTAGAGTCAAAGACATCAGATAAAACACAAGGTTTAACTTAGAGGCAGAGTCTCATATCATAGTGTCAAAATGTCCAGTTTCAGATGAAAGTCACTTGTCAGACCAAGAACTAGGAACATCTCAACTTGAATTTTAAAAGACAACAGGTAGACACCAACATCAAGATCATCAAGATAAGAGTTATTGAAGTTGTATGACAAACACTTAAGCAACCATCATAAAAGCATTTCATTGAAGTATAAACATGCAGAGACAAATTTTTTAAATTCTGCAAAAGAAAGAAAAAAACATTGATTCAGCCAAGAAATAGAAGACACAAAAACAGAACCAAACAAAAATGTTGGAACTGAAGAATATAATAACTAAAAATTTTAAAACTCAATGAATAGAGATAACACAAAGGAAAATCAATGAACTAGAAGGTAGCACAACAGACAGCAGGAGCAATAGAGAGAAGATAGAGTGAAATAGTTATCAACCTTCAGAACAGTAACAAAACATTTAATGCTTATGTCACTAGAATCTGGATTTCTGTTTTGTTGATTTTTTTCTTTTGGTACCAGGGATCGAACTCCAGACCTTGTGCTTATGAGGCATGTGAGCTGCCACTGAGCTAAACCTTCAGCCCTGTCACTGGAATCTGGAAGGGGAGAAACTGGAAAAAGCTGTTCTCAAATCTGCCAAATAGTGTATCCTACAGATTTGAGAAGGAGGATGAACCCCAAAGGGGATAAACTAAAGAAATTCGACCCAAGACACACTATGATCATCAGGCTTCTGGTAATGAAAGACAAAGAACAAAGTTTGAAAGCAGCAAGAGAAAAAGACACACTGTCTGTGGAAAAAACAATTAAAATTATGATGGATTTTTTATCAGAACACTGCACTGTAATCTGAAGTCCTCTCAAAGCCAAAATTAGCCTCTAGCGATGTGAAGATGAGGTCCCCCCACCCCTGACTACAGGGCTGATGGAGACCGTGGATTCAGTGTCATTGGATCCTAGACCCAAGGGAACTGGTCTGCATGCCCACCTTCGGGGCCCTGTGATGAACCAAGATTGGGAGACGTGAGTGTGCATCACAGAGGTCCCAAGGACCCCAGGAAGGGAGTGAAGGGGGCTTTCTCACAAAGGCTAAGTTTCCAGATGCTACCATCACCCCCTCAGGTCTAACAGAGAGATAAAGGATGCTCGCCACACCCCCAGTGGTGGGTGCAGCAGGAAGACAGCAGCCATGGCTGCTCATCCTTGGGAGGATGCCAGAGGTTGGTCAGGAGAGGATGTACACCGGAGCATCCAGATGCTCCTGCAGCCCCACCCTGTGAGGAGAGGCTGCGGGGGGGTCCTCTTTGGAGAGTGATGCAGGACATCTGGGAGAGAAAGGCTGAGGGCACCTTTCCCTCTCACAGGAGGTACCATCTGAGGTCATCACACTCAGCATGAGGGTCTCTGGCCTTGACAGTCACAGATGCAGGGCAGTGTAATGTGCGAGGAGAAATAGGTATACCATGGTGTGATCCTCTGATGGTGTGATCCATCAGAGCCAAGCTGCCAGGAGCAGCAGCACTGAGCTGGCGACAAGAAAGGGTGGCTTGAAGCTTTTAGAGACCAGGCAGGAAAGTAGAAGCCACATTATATAGGGTAACAATGGAGCCAGTGCAGGGAACTGAGCAGAGATGGTGTGAGGACTGTAAGGGCACAGGGGAGACACCAAAGAGACACAAAGAGGTCACTGTGGAAGGCAGCCCCGTCACCTGGACCAGGGGAGCAGAGGGCAAGTTGAGACCACTGACAGTAGACAGCCAGATGGGGGCTCTGCTGAGTGTGTCAGAGGCCTCTGCAGCATGTGTGCCTGCAGGGTGGCCGGGTCCTCCTTGTCCTCCTGTGCCTGCAGGGAGGCATCACATTGCTAGGGGAACCCCCATTTCTGGGGAACATCCACTGCCCTGTGGACTCTGCCTCAGGCCCCAGTAAGGGAGTCCTGTGGAGCAGGGTTCAGGCCTCTGAGAAGCCACACTGGAGACAATGTACCATGTGCCTGAGGGTCTGAGAGGCTGCTCCTGCCAGTGTGGAAACTGGACCCAGCAGCTGCCTCTGGACCCAGAGTCACAGCACAGTCAGAGAACCACCAGGGCAGCACTGACAGAGCAGGGAGCTAAGGGACAGAGCGGGGCCCATCCCTTTCTGGGGTCCCAGCTTCCTCAGCCCCCAGCCCAGCTCCAAAATAAGAATAGGGTTTGCAGAATCCAGCCCAGTTTCCAGAGCTGGATTTGAGAAGAGAGCAGGTTAATAATGAGCATGGTGCTGCCTAAAGAACTCAACTCCCCACCCGGACTAGGTTCTGAGGGAGCAGAAGAGTGGGTGCTGCCCCTGCACCAGCAGATAGAGGACATGAAAGTTCTGGTGGGGCTGAAGCTGGGCAGAGGCCATGCATAGTGTGGGTTCTGGGCTTTGCAAGAGAGCAAACATAAACAACGGTGGCATCCTAGAAAGCCCAGTTGACAGAGTCACCTAGTCACATCTGCCCATCCTAATCATCATAATTCAGAAAAAGGAAGCTTTCTGGTGGGTTTCTGTCTTCTGAGTACAAGTGTGAAAGGGGAGAGATCCCCATGAGTGCACACCAGGCATTCAGCTCTCAGGTCAGACTCAGAGGTCTAGGAATCTGATGACCAAAGGTGTGCGCCCCACTCACCAAAAGGATAAAGTAAGACCAGCCGCAACTTGGTTCCTGTGAAGCCAGCACAAGGACATGTGGCATTCAAGAGCCAGGGCCCCTCCTCATGCCACATTCACGCAGAAGGATCAGTCCACTGCACAACATATCCTGTCT